GTAACAATCAGAGGGGTCACTGAAGCAGAACCTGGACTCGGACCAGTTCCAAGATCCAGGAATCAACGATGTAGGGTTAAACTATTAACCACACACACAAATAAGTGCCATGTGAAAAACAGGGTGTGGTGAGGGGCACCTGGCTGGCTCAGTTGGTAGAGCACGTGATCCTTCATCTCAGGGTCATAAGTTCAAGTCCCATGTTGGGTACAGAGTTTACTTTAAAAAACAAACAAACAAACAAACAAACAAACAAACAAACAAACAGCATGTGGTGAGATGCAGGGAAGACAGAAACTGCCATTTGGGACAATCTATCTTCACTAGCAGGAGAGAAGTAATGACCAAGAAAATACAAACACAGGATTCTGAGCCATTAGGAAAATCTCCCCTAATCCAGTACACAGCCCAGCCTACAACAAGAACCAATTACAAATAGATGATGCAGAATACATTCAACTCCATTCAAAGATGAGTAGTCAGAATGCAACCAGCACAGGATCTATCTCATGATGCTATAAGAAAAATGGTGGACAGAAAAAGGGGAAGTTCACTAGAAATACTTTCACTAAGCAGATGAAAATTGTGCCATGAATGAAGAAACCTGATGCAATAACTGCTTCCAGAAATGAAAACACAAAGCAAAGATGTAAGAGCTCACTGGACATAATGATTAGACAACAGAAGGGGCTAAAATAAGCATAGCTCAAGAGAAAAACAGAAGAAAATATTCAGCTGCATCAGGACTGAAAGCAAAACTAAAAAGTAGAGCATGCCAGACAATGGTAGAAACTCAGTAAGAAACAGAGAAGATTGTGAGAAAAGTAAGCAGAATCAAAAGGGGGAAAAGTTAATAAGGCTTAGATAAGGAAGTCATGCAAAAAGGATCCAACAAACACATAACTGGGTGCCCCCTCCCACTAAAATGGAATAGAATAAAGACACAATCCAAGAAAACTGTTCATAAATATGGTGTCACGCTGCAGATTAAAAACATACACCATGTTTCAGAACAGAACAATACACAGTGGTCGCTACAAAACAAATCCCAGTTAAATCATCGAAATTCAAAGATAGAGAGCCTTAGGGGCACCTGAGTGGCTCAGTTGGTTGAGCTTCCAGCTCTTGGTTTCAGCTCAGGCCATGATCCTAGAGTCGAGACTGAGCCCCATACTGGGCTCAGTGCATAGGATGGAGCTTGCTTAAGATTCTCTCTTCCCTTCCCGACCCCTTCCCCTGTTCATGCTCTCTCTCTCTCTCTCTAAAAAAACAAAACAAAAACAAAACACAACAAAACAAAAAACAAAGAAAAAAAATCTTAGGCAATCAGGCAAAAATATCAAGATCCTTTTAAGGTGTTTAAAAAAAGAAATCAAGCTGGCCTTACTTCTGTACATCATCTAGTTCTGGAAGGCAGAGGAAAAACACTTGATAAAGTACTCACAGAAAGAATACAGAAACAAAAGAATTATCAGTTAAACTACTGCTTAAGTATAGTGATCACTGCAAAATGATTCTGAACATGTGAAAACTCAAAATACTGGTCCTGTAAGTTCTTTTTGAGGAAGGTAATAGAGTTCATTCAATCAAGCAATGAACAACAATAAAAAATGATTTAAAAAATTGGCAGATAGGATTACTCTATTTAACAAAAAGAATAAGACTTAAAATTTTTTTGGAACTTTCCTTTGTTTCTATGCCTTAAACCAATTTAATTATCATTGGTTTATCTGGTCTTTGAGAGTTTGATAGAATTCAGTGAAACCGTCTGGGCCTAGTGTTTTTCTGGGAGATGTTGCTTTGAAATTTTTTTCTATTCTTCCAATAGAAATTGGTCTATTTAAACTTTCTGGTTTCAGGGGCACCTGGGTGGCTCAGCTGGTTGCGCATCTGGCTCTTAGCTTTGGCTCAGGTCACAATTTCACAGTTTGTGAGTTCAAGCTCTCCGTTGGGCTCTATGCTGACAGCACACAGCCTGCTTGAGATTCTCCCTCTCTCTCTCTCTGTGCCCCTCCCCCACTCACATGCTCTCTGTCTCTCTCAAAATAAACAAAATTAAAAAAATAAATAAACTTTCTGGCTCAATTCAAAGGGAGCTAGATATTAGAAATTTATCATTGTTATAGATTTTTTAAACTTAAAAAAAATTATTTATTTTGAAAGACAAAAATAGTGTGAGCAGGGGAGGGACAGAGAGAGAGGGTGAGAGACAGAATCTGAAGTAGGCTCTGTACTGTCAATGTATAGCTCGATGCAGGGCTTGAACTCACGAGCTATGAGATCACGATCTGAGCCGAACACTTAACTGACTGAGCCAGCCAGGTGCCCCTATCACTGTTACAGATTTAAGTAGAAAAATAATCTGGTCATTAGGGTTTTTGCCTGTTTAATTCACTAGTGTATTTCTACAGCCCAGAGTACTGAGACTGGCAAAATGCTCAAAGTACATCTCACAAAATTCAACATCCATTTTTTTATTAAAAATTCAATACAATGGAAAAGATAGATACTTTGATAACATGGTTTAAAAAAAAAACTCTAGTTTTCATTGTCTGCACATTTCTTTCAAATCTCCTCATACCATCTGAATATATTAACCTTTTTTTTTTTAAGTTTATTTACTGATTTTGAGAGTAAGAGAGAAAGAGAGCGAGCAAGCAGAGGGAGAGGGAGAGAGAGCATCTCAAGCAGGCTCTGTGCTGTCAGTGCAGAGCCCAACACAGGGCTCAATCCTATGAACTGTGAGATCATGACCTGAGCTGAAATCAAGAGTTGGGACACTCAACCGACTGAGCCACCCAGGCACCCCTGAATACATTAACTTCTTCAAGGTAATACAAAATTAAAATGAACAACATATAATCTGTTTTATGTTGGGCAGTTGTGTCTCTCTATACCTCAGGCAATATTTTAAATTACCAAAAGGTAAAGTATGCTCATTTTACTGAAGAGGAAACTAAGGATCAGTAATGTTGAGAAACTTGCCTAATGCCACACAGCTAGTGAATGACAGAGCTAATGGTTAAATAGAAGTCCTAGGCACTCTTCTACATTTAAAAGTTACTTTCTTCAGAGTTCTGTTCCAGACCCTCTTCTCACTGTATTTATTCCCCCTGGTGAGACTCATACCCCCAACCTTGAACTGTAGCCCACAAGCTGATAACTCCCAAACCCATTATCTCTGGCTCTGACATCTCTTCAACCACCTGCTGACAACAGCCACTTGATTGTTCCATGGATAAACTCAGTATCCCAAAAATCAAAATTATTTCTAACATTTGCTTTCTTTCCCTTGTTTCCTTTTTACTTACTTGGTCAAACAAGGAAAAAAACCAAGGAGACATCTAGACTTCTTCCTCACCACTCTGCCCTGCTTCCAGCTGGTAATCAAGACTTATGGATGGTCTCTTCTGACAGTTTTGGTCTTCATGCCTACTACCCCTTCTTTTGTTCAGTGAATCACTTCTTGTTTATATTGCCAAAGGCAACACATAACCAAAGGTATTAATCAAGAAAGACCTCCTGGCAAGGCTCACATCCCATTGTCTCTGCCCGACTTTCACAACCTTCCCACAATGCAATACAATGCAATATGCCTTGGGGATCAGGAGGACAAATACCATCATGTCTTCACCCAACGGTGTACTTCCTTAGAGGCACCCCAGATCATTCCTCATCAACCAGACTTTATCCCTGTAGGGCCCTGTTGATCTCTCCCTTTTCAGATACCCAAACCTTCCAATACAGCCTAGAGACTTACAGTCTATCTCTAGCAAATCCGCAATCTCTAATCTGAATATATCCTTTACCTCCCTGCCCTAATGAATCTCAGCTCTCCCCTGAGAATACTCCTTCCCCCTTCAGCCCTCTCACCTGGGAGACCTTTTCTCTCAAAAAACCTCTTCCCCATCTATATGGTCTTCCTGAATTATCTCCTTCAGAACTCTTACCTGGACTCCAAACTCCTCTATTAACCTATCTCAACATCTCCACTTCAGTGCTCAGAAGTCAACACCATCTTCCAGTGCTCAAAACCAATCAGGGATTTCTCCCCAAAGCTAGTCCTCCCACTGTTCTTCATCACACGTTACTGCAGCATCACATTCCTAGCCACATGATGTCACCTTCCTAGCCACGCAGTATTACTGCTGCGAAACCTTCCTAGCTACACAACTGGCAGGGCCAAAATCCTAACTCTTCCTATTCTCTCACTGCCCCTATATAATTCTTCAGAAGTCCTCAACCAACTTCAAACCTCTACTCTGGATCTAACCAGGTTCCACCTCCAGCAATCCTCTCTCCTGGATTCCTGACATATCCTTCTAAACCATCTCTCTGTTTCTCACTTTGCCTCTCCACAGCTGATCCACCAAAAACTTCAGATCAGGACGCTGCTCTGCTCAAAACTCTGGTAAGGCTTCCCGCTGCACCCCAGCAAAGTCTAAATCTGTAAAGGGCTTCCTAAGGCCCTAAGTGATATGGAGACCCTGTTACTTCCTAAAATAATCTCTGGCCGCTCTCCTCCCATCAGCCTTTTGCTTCTCTTTAGGCATGGCAAACACACTACAATCTCAGGCCTTTGCACTTACTGTTCCCACTGCTTAGAATGCTCTTATCCTACACAGCCATATGGCTCACTTCATTACATCTTTCAACTGTTGGCTCCAATCTGTTCTTATCAACAGTTCTCCCGGATCATCTTACATGAAGTGGTAGGCCTGCACTGCCTACCCTGTCGCTCCAAATCTCACCCTATCTAATTTTTCCCCAAAGCACTTTGCACCATCTAGGACACTTTGTTTTTGTGTGTCTCCAGCCCCTAAAAATAGAAACTCTATGAGGGCAGGAATGTCTCGTTGTTCACTGCTTTACCTCTAGTATCTAGAACACTACAGAGCTCATAGAAAAGCACTCAAGGAGTATTTACTGAGGTAAATGAAAGGATGAAGAAAAGAAAAAGGTAAAGAAGGAGGGCTAGATCTTTTCAGCCCCAAATATACCTGAGTGCTGAATCAGTAGCATGTGCTGCTGTTGTAGTAATGACTGGAGATTGAGCTCTGGTGGCTGAAACTGTTGCTACCACAGCAGGAGGGATGGTATTAGAGGTGGTCACAGGTGGACGAGACTACCAAGAAAAGAGAAAAAAATATTTCATTTAAAACAAAAAGCAAAATAAAATACAGTAAGCCAAACACTGTAAGTGTAATTTAAAACCTGGGCCTCCAAACAAGTATGTTGTTCAAATGAAAGGAAATTCTCACCATTCTGACTAAGGAATTCTATGTTCAGATAGGTAATTTTAAGACCAAGAGTCAGAATTACAAAAAAAATTCCCATTTTGGCTGGATAGAGTATATAAATTCCTCCTTTCCAAATATGACTAGATTCAACATTTTATCCTATGGGGAGTAGTTGGGATCCAACCCTTCAGATCTAGAGTGCCCACAGATTTGTTGTTGGTTCTGACATAGACATTCTATACTCCCACACAACCAAGCGCTTTCCACAGAGGGCTCTAAGCCATCGGATGGAGATGCTGGCTCTCGGGCCCTCTAAGCCAGCAAACACGTGAAAACAGCATTTGCTTATGGAAGATTCAGGGTGCCCAGCTGCTCTCTGGCTGTTTTCACATGGATGTACTTCTCTTACCTTCCTTTATACTACATCTGTGTATAAAATCTTCACCAGACAAGTTCCACCCTGGGCTTCACTGGCTTGTCCACTGTCATTTCTTTCGATCATCTGAGCTCTTCTGAGTAGTCCCTTTCTTGACCCTGACACATGCAGTTCAATTCGCAAATGCTGCCCATTTGGATCTGCCTCTTATCTCCAGACCTTCGATCTGCAGTGCCTACGCCTACTGCTACAGCTTGTCTCACACCAGGTCATCACACTAGCTTTAGAACTCCCCGTTTGGGTTCTTTCTCCTGTCCTTCCTGTATACCATTTACACTCCAGGGGCCGAATGAGTCTCCAAATGTGCTTTGTTAGCCAGCAAGCCCTCTTGTTTTAAATTGAAAACTCTAGGCTGGACATGTACTACCCAGTGTCCTACCCAGCAATCTTCCTGATTGTGTTAAACCCAGCTGTCCCATATATGTGACCAGTCTGGCCCCCAAAAGTATTTGAACATGCATCTACCGTCTGTGGTTCAGCTACATTAATCTTTCAAAGAGATTTCTGTGATCTCATATTACTATGTTCAAAAAACTTAGTGGCTCTCTGCTGTGTATAAAATCAAGTTTACACTCTGTATCTTCAAGCTCTGAATTCAGAGACATCACAGTATCACCTCATAACACAGTATACTTCAGTACTATTGAGGCCATAGATTTCCTTGGAAAAAAGTTGAAAGACACAGACTGTCTTTCTTGAAAAGCACACACACGTGTATAAAAATGTGCACGAAGTATTTAGGGGCTCATACATCCCTATCTGAATTAAAACTTCTCCGTTCTGGCTCACCTTTACTAAACCCAGTATACAAGTGCCATGGTCTTCCTTGCCACTGTGCATAGTCTCACTCCCTTTCACCGCCTCTTCACTTCTCTGAATCTCCCTCTACACCCATCCCTACGACAGCTTCCCTTGGCCCTGCTCTTCTAAATCTCTGTGGCTGATCATCTCACACCGTATAGAACTCAACCTTCTGGACACCTTGGCGACTAGATCAAAAGTCACGTGAGGTCAAAGGACTCTCCCAGGCTCTAGCAGAGTCAAGAACTCTGAGTAGGCACTTGATACTTGCTGGCTGACTACCCACAAGCTGACATGCCTGGATAGGTTGGTGAATGATATGCTGTACTGCCGGCTGAGCTGTAGCAGTATTTGGCAACTGGGAAGTCGGCCTCAGGACCGTGGTCACTTTAGAACTGGACATCACAGCAGCAGCGGCTGCACCTGGAAAATAATTTTTGTCATTAGTATGGCTTATGGGCTCACCATTTAAATATTCTAATCATATGCCCTAGGAAAAGAGTGCAGATATGTTCTAAAACTCAGTATGTCAGTAATTTAGCTGACATGTCGTATTGTATACTTCCCTTTTGTCACATAGAAAATTTTAAAAAGTGCACTCACGGGTTGTGATTTGTTAATATTAGTAAACTGTTTTGCTTCTTCAAGGACACTATGAAATGAAACTGTTTTCTGTTTTGTTAACTGCAAGGATGCAGAAGACAGGCACACACTGAATAGCACAGCGCGGGGCTGCTGCCTTCATTTAGGGCAAGGCTCCAGCGGTTTAACCATCAGTGAGGGTTCACCTGAACTACCTCTGCCTTTGTATTGTCAAATACAGGCAAATGACATCTTAGTATTTTCACGAAAGTACTTTCGATCTAACACAGATGCCCTTGCAATCTGTGAACTTTGCTCTGGGGACCAATGAATTACGTTATGACCAAGTAAACCTGGTTTTGTACTTGTTAGCCTGATTTTGCCAACAATGATTTTACACTCTCCAACATAAGGCTGATGAAGTAGCTGAGAAAAGTCACTGAATTTAATACTTGACAACCTTTCACAATTTAACTGTAAGAATAAATCCATCTTACAGCTGTATTAATTGAGTTACCATTATCACTAAACCTTTAAAATATTCAGTATTCGTATTTGTGACTTTATTCTAAACATCAAGATCATTTTGGACTGTCATAAGTCTGAGGCGTTCCTCATTATAAAGGACAATCTTTAGACCCTACTAAAAATCTGAATTGTTTAAAGTTTACACCCAAAAGCATACACACATGCTTGTTGGGGTATGACTGTAATTAGCACATATTTGACCATGCCAAAAATGTGTATTGCTCTAAGTTTATTCCTGCTGTCCTATAACTTTAATAAGCTGATTCTAGATACATTTTTTATTACTGTATCTCTTACCAAATGTGTATCTGCCAATGCATTTTGAGAACTTAAGCAAAACGTACAGTTTTTACCTCGAGGTAAATGAGAAGCTCCAATGTGAAGAGGGGGCCCAGGAGCATTGCTGCGGATAATAGACATCTGTACATTTGTGGTCATGATATGATGCAGGTTACTGGGATGTCCCTGCAAGAAACAGGACATAATGTTATTTTCATGTGCTTGGTCTTAGCCATTGATGCTTAGCCATTGCTTCTAGGAGGTCAGCTGCCTCCAAATGTGGGTCAGGGTGTTCCTTTTAGACAGTGAGTACCCCAAGGGAAAGGATGTTTAGTTTTTTTTATGCAACATACTACATGAAGACCCATGCCCTCAAGCATGGGGTAAGTGACTGTGAGGACACTTCAACTGCCTTGAGCCACAGTAGGTGCTAGATCTCTAACAGATGAACTCATTTGCCCACTTTGGGACACTCTCATCTCCAATATTAGTCTTTCACACTTGTTCTCTCTGCGTTGGCAAAAAGCTTATTCTATTTTATTTTATTCTATTTTAGAATAAGCCAAAAGCTTATTCTATTTTATTCTTATTTCCTATTCTATTTTTTTTACGTGCCACTGCATTCATCCACTCTTTATGTTATGCAGGACTTCTAAGCAAATGTCAATTAGCACTCAGCAGGTACTGCCATACGAGTTCTTCAACTCCTCCCCTCCTTAGAGGACCTTCCTCACAGGCTCCCAACCCTGATGCCAGTGATACCCAGGTGGGGGTTCCAGTATTTCTGGGAGTACTCAGCAGTATGACAAGAGAAAAAACAAAAAACAAAAAACATAGTGTCTTCTTGGAATACCAATTTTTTTCTTAAAAACTTGAAGGGAAAGTTTTTAGATTCAGGTTTTTTCACTGGTCAATAATTAAAAATATTTAAATAAATCATATACATATTATAGAGTAGGAGTAGAATTTCAGCCAAAAAACATAAGCTAAAACATGAGACTACAAAATAAATGTTCACGACTGATGAGCTGCTTGAGGGCACCTGCTAGGTGCCCAAGACATACATCATCATCCTCCTCAGAGAAAAATCCTAGAGCAGCATTACTGCCACGAGGCTGTTCTCCACCCCCCAAAGCTAACCAGCACAAGTGGACTCTGAGCACCTCAAGGATACGGACAGTCTTGTCTAGACTTGTATCTCACATGGACGGTGGTGCCTCACACATAGCAGATGCTCAATACATACTGGCCAAATGACAAAGACCACTGTGCATGTTGGTTTTACTCCCTGCAGATATCCTTCTCTCTCAAACCTGCTATCCTCCCCTTGCAGATACCAGTGACCATTTAATTTTTTAATTTAATACAGTGCCTAATGTACTGCTGGCATTCAATAAATAATGATCAACAGTTTGGCATCTCAGTTTGAAAATCAGCAAATTAAGAGGAGAAAAACCTGTTGTCCACTGATTGTTGCCACAGGAATGGCTGAAGCTTGAGGGATGCTACTCTCCATGGTAACGGTAACCTGCCCTGGAACCTTGGGGGGAAGTGACAAGGTAGAAGGTGGAGCAGGAGCAATGGGACGGCTAGGCATGGTGGGCTTCGGGGGCGGCTGCGAACAGAAAACCACACGAAACAATCAATAGCTTTTTACGAGTGATGCATTTCCTTCTATAGTTAAAAAAGTACACAAATCAAACCTGGAGAGGGCCAGGAAAGATCCAGAAGCCTTATATATTTTATCTCTTAGCATCACAGCTCTTCCACTCAAGTACCAGCATTTCCATTTTACAGATGAGGAAGCATACAAAGCAAGGCTATGTCACTTGCTCCAAGCCACACAGACAGTAAAAACTGGAACTGGGACTGAAGCCCAGACTTGGATGGCTCACAGCCCACATTCTTTCTTCTGTACAATGCTGCATCCCAAGTTTGGGCGGAAGTAAACAAAACTCCCAGTAACTAAAACATTGCGACAAGGTAATACACAAGGCGATATTCTCAGATACCCCCAAATTAGTGAGCTTTAAAACAAAACCTTGGAGAAGAGTGCCACTCCAAGATAAAAACTAAGTCAGCATGCCCATTAACTTGAATAAAGTCAATGTCAAAATGGATACTAGAAAAGATCCTGTGATGCCAACTGCCCAGCGGCACAAGATAGGCACTGCAGAACAGCAGAGCTCTGAGCGACAGAAAAGAGCTGAACTGATGGGTCAAAAAGAGAACACTGTGATCCTGGATGCGGCCTAAGACTCTGTGAATACTGTCAGGAACATGAGCCAGTCCTTAGCTGTGGTTTAATGTGAAATTTTAAACCTCTCCATTACCTTCATAAGTCCCTCCGAAAAGGAGAGTGGCACTGCTGGCGTCAGATGTGCTGGTGGGGCTGTCACTGTGACGGGTGTGCCCGATGCAACAGCATGGTGTGTAGACAACATCTGCACCTGCGGATAGGGCCTTACCACAACAGGCTCTTGCTTCTCTTCACGGGACTGGAGGGAGCCGCTGGAACCCATGTGCTCCCTGGCAGTGACTTCAGCCTCTCGACTAGATTCATCATTGACTAGTAAGGGCATTAAGGGAGAAACCTCATGTCATATGCTTTCAGTGTTAAATAATACTAATGAAGTAAACAGCACATACAGCTGTCGGCTGGGCTGATAGCTCAGAACCTGGAGCCTGCTTTGCATTCTGTGTCTCCCTCTCTCTCTCTCTCTCTCTCTCTGCCCCTCACCCACTTACTCTCTCTCAAAAATAAGAAGGCATTAAAAAAAATAAAAAAAAAAATGATCTCAAACAGTTGGAAGAGCAATGCAAGACAGGATGCTTTCATTTAAGGTATTTATTTAAAAAGTTATAAAAACCTAACATTAAAAAGATAACATAAATATTCTTAAGCCCAAGAACATACACCTTTTCAAAACAAATTTCCTACAAAACAAACATGGAGATCTCTATCATTATTACAATCCTATCATCATTATGTACACCTTTTGAAACTCAACAATTCCACTTGCAGCAATGTATCCTATAAAATACATAGTACGTGTGTAAAATGACTTGTGTCCATTATTTGTTTCACCATTTTTATTCCAGTAAAGGAATTTTTAAAACCTACGCATCTATCAACAGGTGACTGGATGTATAAATTCCGGTATACTCCCAGACTACCATGTAACTATAAAAATAAGACAAGGAAGCTTTTTAGGTATTCTTATTAAAAAATCGGTAATGTGCATTATGCAAAAACATATCTAAAGGAAAAAAGCAAGGTACAGAACAGTGAAAAAGTAATCATACATGCCTTTATTTTCTTATGTAGAAACATAACTCCCAAAGTATCTTGATTTCTTGATGGGAAAGAAAGTAGATTCTGAGAGAATAGGGATAGGAGAGATACTTTTTGCTATACACTCTTTCTTTGGGAATTGTGGACCGGAACAACATGTAAGTATTTAAAAACAATTTAAAAATTGAGGGAATTTGACTCCCACATTGGGTTCTGTGCTGACAGGGCAGAGCCTGCTTGGGACTCTCTCTCTCCCTCTCTCTCTGCCCCTCCCATGCATGCCTTCTCTCTCTCTCAAAATAAATAAATAAAATTTTTAAAAAAGCTAAATGAAATTCCATTGGATATACCATAGCTTTTTTAACCATTATATCACTGATGGGCTTTTAGGTTATTTCCAAATTTTTGCTATTATCAACAACTCTGGGATAAACATCCATATGTATTTTGAGTTCTTGTCCAGCGATTTCCTCAGGAAAAAAATCTCTGAGTACAGGTGTTACGTGAAAAGACAGATGTATATTTTACATTTTGTTATATGTTGATTTTTCTCCCTGGTCATTCAGATTTTTTTTACTTTGATTTTTAAAACCACTCTATTGATGTACAATTTACATACAATAAAATGGCTATTCGGAGACTAGAGAGTTCAAAAACAGTTTTGTTTTTTTTTTTTACGTTCTTAACCAACAGGCTAGGAGTAGAACTGCTGGGTCAAATGGTAAGTAAATGTTTACAGGGGACTGCCAAAATACCTTCCAAAGTGGTTGTATCGTGTTATAGTCCCATCAGCCAGTGGATCAGAGTTCTAGCAGCTCCTTATCCTCACAATTCTTGATACACAGACATTCCAGTGGGTGTTTAGCGGGGTTCTCATGGTGATTTCAGTTAGCATCTCCATGATGACTAGTGATGTGCAACTTCTTTTTATGTGGTCACAGGCCATTCATAAATATCTTCCTTTGTGAAGTATATGTTTCTTTTCAAAAAAAAATTTTTTTTTTACATTTATTTATTTTTGAGAGACCGATAGAGTGTGAGTGGGGAAGGGGCAGAGACAGGAGACAGAATCCGAAGCAGGCGCCAGGCTCTGAGCTGTCAGCACAGAGCCCAACATGGGGCTCGAACCCATGAGCCGTGAGATCATGACCTGAGCTGATGTCGGATGCTTAACCGACTAAGCCATGCAGATGCCCCATGAAGTGTATGTTTCTATATTTTGTCCATTTTTTAGTCAGTCAGCTTAACTGAGGTATAATTTACATAGAAAATCCACTAATCCTTTGTATAAAATTAGATGAGTTTTTGCAGGAGTATACAGTATTCTAACCACAATACAATCACGATGGAGAACATTTTCCATTACTCTTACCGGTTCATTCATGCCCCTTTGCAGTCAGTTCCCTCCCTCAGACCCTCCTACCCCTTAGAAACCATTAATTTGCTTTCTAATACTATAGCTTTGTGTTTCCTGGAATTTCATACAAATAGAATCATACAATATTTGGTCTGTTGTGTCGGTTTCTTTCTCTTAGTATAGTCAGTCCTTGAACAACATGGATTTGAATTGCACAGCTGTACTTACACGCGGCTTTTGATACAGTACAGTGCTGTAAATGATTTTTTCTTCCATATGCTGTTCTTTCTTTCTTTCTTTATTTTAGAAAGAGAGAGACCATGCATGTGCCTAAGCAGGTTCCACACTCAGCATGGAGCCTGACACGGGCACTGATCCCACAACCCTGGAATCATGACTTGAGCAGAAATCAAGAATCACACCCTCAACCAACTGAGCCACCCAGGTGCACCTCTTCCTTAGGCTTTTCTCTGTAACATTATCTTTTCTCTAGCTTACTTCATTATAAAAATACAGTATATGATATATAAAACACAAATATGTATCGATTGTTTATGTCATCAGTAAGGCTCTGCTCAACAGTAGGCTATTAGTAAAGTTTTGGGAGAGTCAAAGTTATACTCAAATTGACTCAGAGGGCCAGTGACCCTAACCCTCAGGTTGTTCAACGGTTAACTGTATAATGTTTTTAAGGTTCATCTATGTTGTTCTATATGCTAGCAGTCTGCTCCTTTTTATTAAGTAGTTTTCCACTGTATGTGTAAACCAAACTTTATCTAGTCACCAGCTGATAAATTCTGGGTTGTTTTCAGTTTATGGCTATTGCTTCTAGGAACACTGATTCTAGGAACACTGAAGTATGAACATTGCTTCTAGGAACACTGAAGTATGAGTCTTTGAACATACATTTCCATTTATCTTGGGGAAATATCTAGGAATGGGATTGCTAGGTTGTATGGTCAAGTTTATATTTAACTCTATGAAGTACTGCCAAACTGTTTCGAAAGTAGCTAGATTATCTGGCGTTCCCAACAAGAAGGTATGGATTCTACTTGCTCCATGAACACCTCAAACTTGGTATTGCTGGTATTTAATTTTAGTCAGTATAGTAGATATGTAGTATTTTCTGTGGTTTAGTTTGCATAGCCTTGAGGAAATAACACAATTGAGTATCTTTCATGTGCTTATTGGACATTCCTATAGCATCTTTGGTGATCGGTCTATTCAAAGTTTGCCCATTAAAAAAAATCCCAAGCAGGAGAATCCCAAGCAGGTTCTGTGCTATCAACACAGAGCCTGACACAGGGCTAGATTTCACTAAGTGTGAGATGAAGACCTGAGCCGAAATCAAGAGTTGGATGCTCAACTGACTGAGCCACCCGGCTCCCCCTTTTCTTTAAAGGGCTTTAAAAATTTTTTTTAAGTAATCTCTATACCCAATGTGGGCCTCGAACTTACCACCCCAAGATCAAGAGTCACATGCTATTCTGATTAAGCCAGGCAGGCACCCTAGTATTTTCTTTATATATGATGTTTTGAACCTTCCCTGTTATCCAAACAGATCTTCCCATAATTAAATTTTTGAGGGAATGGGCAATTTAACAACTTTCCCCAAACCTATTTGTCCAGGAAGACTTTGATTTTTGACAATTTCATTAAGATACACTTTACTGACCATTTCCTGTTAAGATCTTTTTGAAACCATTTATCATTTCCTTCCAGATATCTGAGTTCTTCACTTCAGCTTATTTTTACCTGAAAAGAATCCTGAAAGGGTAGTTAAGAACACTGGTTGTAGTCTACACTTCTGAAATTTGAACGTGTTTGAGATCCTGATATGCTTTTACTTCTGATAAAAGCGATAGGAAATATCAAGAAAATATTTAACTCCTTATGGAAAACTTTTGTTTCCTTCTCTGAGAGCAATAGAAGGAAAAAACACACACTATTCACAAGTAAAATTACAGACAATTTTAAGTCAATGATTTCCTCAACAAAATCTGAGGGCAATTATTCCTAAATGACACCATTTTTAATAAGTAGCATAATTCTCTGCAAATAGACATTCAAAAATACTCCCTTTAAGCTATGCTTATTTATTTATTTATTTATTTTAAGAGAGAGAGAGAGAGAGCGCAAGCATGCAAGTCAGGGAGGGGCAGAGAGAGGGGTGGAGAGAGAGAATCCCAAGCCAGCTCTGCACTGTCAGCGCAGTGCCTGATGCGGGGCTCAAACTCACAAACCATGAGACTGTGACCTGTGCCAAAGTTGGACACTTAACTGCCTGAGCCACCAGGTGCCCCTAAGCTATGTTTCTTTAAATTATTCTATGAATTTATATCAAAGACAAAATACTGTAAAAAATATTTATTAAAAAGCAAAGAACTTTAAGTGGCTCTGTAAGGACTTGATGACCACTACTTTGTGTCCTATGATGTAGCAAGTACAGCAAATACAAAGGTACGCAAGGTGGACGTGGTTCTAGCCCTCATTCCAGGAGGTCCAACCCCTGACTTGTGGATGGTGGAATCAGTAAACACCTCCTAGAGAAAGTGACATCTGAGATGAAAGCTCAAGGAAGAACAGAAATTAATCAGATAAGTGAGTGTGAAAAGGAAGAAGGAAGATTGTGGCAAAAGGAACAGAATGTATAAAGTCTCAGAGTCAAGAAAATTGGGAACTTTTTGTCATTCATTTAGAAAATGAGTAGCTACTATTAAGCAGGAGACATAAAGTAGCTTAAAGTTATTTCAAGTCTAAAGAGAACTGAAATGAATTTATAAGAAAAAAAAGTTGGCAGGAGGGAAGCAAAGGCATAATGAGGTTGAAACACTAGACAAAGGGCCATAGCTCACAGATAAGAGAGAGAGACAGAGCAATTAAAGATGAGGCCATGTTCCTGGTTTGAGCAATGAGCAGACAGTGGTACCATTTACCACGATAAGGAACTTAGGAAGCAGGAGGTGAAGAAAAGGGAATAGAAAAAGAAATACTCCACTTTGCAGTGCCAACTTTTTTCTTGACATATTTAGAGAAAAGACCACTTGAAGGAGTTCCTCAACTTCAGCACTACTGACTGGACTGGATACTTGGGGGCACGGGGGCAGGGGAAGCTCTAAGGCCCATTTAGCAGCATCCCTGACTTTTAACTATCAGATGTCAATAGCACCCCCTAGTTGTGACAACCAAAAATGTATCCAGACATTGTCAAATTATTCCCTGGAATGCAAAATCATCCCTGCTGAGGACCACGGACCTATAGCACTCAAAGGGTATACAACCAAAAACTAAGTGCATATATGTGTGCATATTCCGTTGATCCTTGAACAATGTAGGGGTTAGGTGATGGCCACACCTGCAGTCAAAAATCTGCATATAACTTTTGATTCCCTTAAACTTAACTACTAATAGTCTATTGTTGAGTAGAAACCTTACCTGTAACAGTTGACATACATATTTTGTATGTTGTAAGTATCATATATCATATTCTTGCAATAAATGAAGCTACAGAAAAAAATGCTAGTAAGAAAATCATAAGGAAGAGGCACCTGGGTGGCTCAGTCAGTTGAGCAGCCCAGTCTTTTTTTTTTTTTTTTTTTTTTTTTTTTTTTTTTTTTTTTTTTTTTTTTATTTTTTTTTTTAATTTTTTTTTTTTAACGTTTATTTATTTTTTCGGGACAGAGAGAGACAGAGCATGAACGGGGGAGGGGCAGAGAGAGAGGGAGACACAGAATCAGAAACAGAGCAGCCCAGTCTTGACTTTGCTTTAGGTCATGATCTCATGGTTGTGAGATCGAGCCCTGCTTCCAGCTCTACACTGAGTGTGGAGCCTGCTTGGGATTCTCTCTTTCCCTCTCTCACTCTGTCCTTCCCCCACATTCACCTACCTTCTATCTCTAAAAATAAATTTTTAAAAAATTTAAAAAAAATTATTGAAAAAAAATCATAAGGAAGACAAAATACATTTACAGTACTTTACTATTTTTTTCAGAAAAAATCCACATGTAATGGAGTTCAAACCCATATTTTTCAAGGGTCAAATGTACTTTTTTTTTTCAAACCTTTTTCCTAGTTCATAGGCTCATAAAAGGCAAGAACTATGCCTTACACAGTTTGGACTCTCTCATGGCACTATTAATACTCTGGGCGTTAATTAAAGGAGAACACACTACTGTATTAAAAATATAGTTCTTGTAGGAATGCTTTAATGCAGGTTTCTGGTATACTCTAGTACATGTGAAAGAATTAAAAAAGGAATTTAAAAAGCCTTGTTTAGATTAGAATTGTAATATATCCTTTATTCAAATTTGATAACCTAGTATTTACTAAAATCCCACAAGGAATTTGCTAATTAAAAAAAATTTTTTTTAAATGTTTATTTATTTTTGAGAAAAAGAGAAACAGAGTGTGAGCAGAGGAGGAGCAGAGAGGGAAGGAGACACAGAATCGGAAGCAAGTTCCAGGTTCTGAGCTGTCAGCACAGAGCCTGATGTGGGGCTTGAACCCACAAACCATGAGATCATGACCTGAGCTGAAATCGGATACTGAACTAACTGAGCCATCCAGGCACCCCCCCAAAACTGGCAACATTCTTAAAACAAGAAGCAATATAGGAGAACACCGCATATCTCACCTGTGGCAGCTGGGTTTATCAATCCTGCAGAACCACTGTTTGCAATCTGTGAAGGAGCCTGGCTTAGCCCAGTGGATGGGGTTCCTAACCGAGGAAACTGTTGAGAACTCATTTCCACCTGCAGTGCATACAGTCATATGGTTATTACTAAATTCTCACGTTAGAATCAATAATGAGAAATTAAAGCATCTCCAGTACCTATACTTTCCTTTAGAAAAGCAAATGCAGCATCATTCACCTAGAACAATTATTTGTGATCAATATACAGTGCAGAAGTAAACTAAATTCTGTTAAGTTTTTAGTGGACATAGGTTCAATAATAAAATCATTTGTGTGGTGTTGGGGGATACTATGACACTCCATAAATACAGCTTACCACTCTAAAAAATCAACACTGAATTCTGTACAACAGCCATATGACAGGTATTAACACAATACATATACATCGGTATAAAGTTTTATGGAAAACAGCATGTCCTTTTAAAGACTGAAGCTTACACCAAGGTGACCACAACTGTCATGTGTATGTCATAGGAGGAATCTGAGGGGAGATACCTTGTTCTAAGAAATCAGAAACCTGACATCAAGACCTACTTCAAAAGAACTCTCAAATGATTTTCTGCACAGGCCTCCGTTTACCGATTTCCTCCTCCTTTCTCTCACAGACCACCCCCACCCCCCACTAAGCCAGAGGAACCAGAGACCTTCACCACTTTCTCTAAATCGACCCCCACTTTTCCCTCAAGAGCCAAGCTCTACCGGTCTTTCGATTCGCACGCAACCCCACCCCCACCCCAAAGCCCACCGCTGAGATTGGAGAACACAGGTTTCCAGACACACTTCAGGTGTCTGAGACTCTCGGGTTAGAGGGAGGACGGCATTCTAGGGATCCCTAGCACAAGCGGCGTGCCTCTTTACCTGCAGCCGCCGCCCGCCGCCCGCACCTCCCGCTTCCATCTCGCCGGGCTGGGGGTGCCGTGGAGGGCCCATCTCGGTGGCAGCGTTGGGCTCCGGAGTCGTGGAGACGGATCCTACCGGAGCCCACTTCGGGCCCGCCGCTGTCCAGCCCAGCCGGCCCCGCTCACCCCCGCCACCCCACCGGGGCTCCGCTCCAGTACTCTGCCCCCGAACCTGCCCCTACCTCCCCCGCCCGCCCATTGGCCCCACGCCGGGCGCGTCATTCGAGGGCCCGCACCAATCCGCAGAGGCCTGCGCGCTCTGATCCCGCCCCACCCTCCCGCCGACTCCCAGCCAATCAGGCGCGAGCCTCGCCGGGGCAGCCCAAACCCCTCGAGGCTGAGCCAATGGCAGAGGAAGACAAGCGCTCCCGGCGAGTGGGGCGGAGAGGTGGGAGGCCCCGCCTCGGTCGGGGTCTGAAAGCGGCGGGCGCAGGGCCCGGATGTGGAGAGTCACTTTAAACTGCTCCAGGAGCCAAACTCCCTGGGCCGCCCGCCCGCCGGCGTTCCCCCAGCCGCTCTACTTCCCCGCCAGGGCCCACGCCCGCCACACCCCCAAGCCCGAAACAGCCCACCCCTCCTGGAGCCTCTCTCTTCCTTGCCGCAGGACACCGGGTCCCTGCCGCCGGCCCAACTGCCATGCCCAGCTCATGGAAAAGCGTAGATCTGAGCCGCAGGAGACGAGGCACCGCTGCCCTTCCCCAGGGACGCTCAGCGGGACGGACGCTGCAGCCCGGCTCAGCCGCCCCGCCCCCTCGTCTCCTCCCCTCTCCTCCCCTCCCCTCCCAGGCGCCCGTCCCGCCATTACCTGGGTGCTGCGCCGAGGGGCCGCCGCGCCGCCTCGAGCTCGCTCCTGTGCGCTCTCTGCTTTTGGGGCCGACGTCCTCAGGCTCTGGACCTGCCGCCACCGCCGGGGCGCTAGCACTCTGCCCCCCACCCCTCAGCCCAGCGCCGCTGCTTCCGCCGCCGTAACGAGCCTCTCATCTATTGGCTGGGGTAGACCCCGCCTCCCTCTGGGGAAGCCAGTCACCGCCCAGTATGAGCCGGAGAGCGGACGAGCCTGCCCCTCGGAGCCGCGGGGTCCTGTGGGAAATGTAGTCTTCGGTGCCAGGAGGGCGGGCCTGGGCGGGACCTCCGGGCGACCCGGCCCGTGTAACACACCCCTTTGCTGCCTAGAGTGGATTCTGCCTTTTCTCTTTGCTTAGTTAAAAGGTAGTGAATCCCACCCCTTTGCCTCAGCTGATGGCACTAGGTTGCATTTTCCCCATGGAGGTGCGGCACGGGAAAAGGGTAATGCAGGCCGACTGCAGCGGGCCGAAGAGGCCGCAGGCAGGGCCGAGGGTTTTCCTGACTGTGCTCACTTCCCCGCGCGGTGTGTGGGACTTGATGTCACCACCGAAGGCCAACCCCGGCTAGCAAAGCCTAAGCACCGTGGGAGAATCGGGTGCGCTGAACTGGAGCTATTCTGTGGGGTTTGCGCCGAGCGCGCCGCCTCAGGCACTGCGCACCGGGCTGGGCCGCCCCAGAGCGGTACACCCTCGGGTTGAATCAGGCCGGCTAGAGGGGGGATCCTGACGCAAGGCTCGGGCGCTGTGCACTTGCTCAGTTTTTTCCAGATTACAAAGAAGCCAAAGGGGATGGTGTTGCTTTGTTGTTTTGTTTGGGGTGGAAGATTGGAGTTTGTACACCTGTAGAAGTCTTAGCGAAAACCGGGGAAGCAAAATTTGGATCTGTATTATGTTCCCCTCCTCCTTTCCCAGATGGTAATTTAGGCCTGGACTTTTGTGACAAGTTAGAAATAAGAGGGGCTTAAATCTCTCCTTTCTATCGTGCACAGTTCTGTAAGATAACTGATTGGTAGGACGATAGTAGCTCAAGGCAACAAAGATGAGTCTCAAGTACCCCTCTCCTTCCTCAAGCCATTTTCTCACTTTCTTCCCTTCTCAGATTTCTTCTGAAAGTAACTGATGTGATATACTTTAGTCTGCTCTCTCCTTAGGCAGTCTCTACCCCTTGTTGGATTCTGCTCCTGCCACTCTTCTCAAACTGCTCCCCAAAAGTTGCCAGTAACCTACTTCACCCAGTGGTCCTTGCTTAGTTCTCATCTCCTCTACCTTGCTGACAGTAATTCCTCCTTAAAGTGTTCTTCCCTTGGCCTCTATAACCACGCTTTCTCCTTGTTCTACTCCTATCCTTATCAAACTCCATGGTACCTCTTCTTTCTCACAAATACAGCCTTCTCCAAGGCTCCAACCATCTTCTGATTTATACTATCTTCCTAACTGGTTAAATGCACTCTCACACTTTCAAATATCATTCTTGAAAATGACTCAAAATCTTATCTACACAATGTGACTTCTCTCATAGTTGTACACTTACAGGTCCACAAATATGTCTTACAACCCCCTGAAAAGTAACCGATAGAACACCTTTATTGATTTGTCTCATGTATGTACTCCTGATTTCTGGGTTTGATGAATGGCATCACCATCCTCTCTGCCTGTGGTTTTATTGTTGTTATTTTCCACTTTTCCATCTCCTAACATCACCATATGTACCTCTATACCCCTTTTCCAATGGGTATAGCCTTGGCTCAAGCTTTCACTATTTCTTGTCTGGATTAGAGCAGTGCTGTAATGAGTGCCCCCATGTGAATCTCATCCTGCCCCCAATCTGTCCTCCACAGTTATTTTTCTAAAACATTAATCTGAGTCCATTCTTCCCATCCTTGGCATTCAGTAACTTCAGAATAAATCTCTAAATCCAGTATTCAAGGTCTTAATAATTTAATCCCTCCTACTCAAACATAGGATACTTTCTCAACAGTAGTTTCCACCAAATTTCCATACAGTTTGACTTCCAGAGTTTTGCTCAAGGCTGACATGCCTTCTATAAAGGCCTCAACCTTCAGTGATCATCCGGTAGAGTCCTGCCGATTCTACGCTACCTAACTGGAAAGAAAAGGATTTATTATCTACTACAAGCCTTCCCTGAATTCCTCTCCTCCCTTCTCCTCCACAGGATACTTCCTGGAACTTCTTCAGTGCCTCTAATATAGCATTGTCTACTCTGTATTTCTCCTGGAGTAGGCAAAGAAACCACTGATCTTTATATCTCCAATAAACAGGAAGAATTCAATAAATGTTTGCTGAGTCTAGTCACAAACAAGTCAGAGTACATGAGTGAAATCTGAGTTTCCTTTAGTTACTAGGGATAGTCTCTGCTGCTGTATTCATGCATATCTCCAATCCTTCATATCATGTACACTTGAAGGAAAATCCATGGTTGTGTTGCTAGGTTTTAGAATCCCCATCTACTGGGCTTGGTGTGCTGAAGACAACCTCCTGGTGCCCTGGCTGGGATGAATCTTCCATATATCTCAGGTATTCAAGCCCCCTGTCAGTTTCAGGGACTCATTACTCTCTTGGATTCTTGAAAATGATGTTGCCCATACAAGAGAGTTTTGATGGATTGAGCAAAGACACCAACAGGTATGCATCTACTAGGTGGTTATCTAAAGAAAGGGAAGTAACTACTCCCCTTTGCCAACAAAGGGCACAGGTTCTCAATGCAAGTGTCCTGTGGTGGTCAGTCAAGTGTCAGCAGGTGGCCTATACGTGTTTGTGAAGTAAACAATGCCTTTGGCACTGGACCCCAATGGTTCTCAGTCTGTAAGAGCCTCAGTGGTCCAATTATACTCTTTGCAGTTCCTCTAAGTTCAGAAACTCCCATTGGCCCAGCTCTTCATACAGAGAAACCTAGTCCCTTCTGGTTTGCTCATCTGTAAAGGGAGAATACCGTTACCTATCTCTATCTTTTTGTATAGATTAAATGAACTATAGATATAAAGGATGTGATGTTTTTGAACTTTCTTATATCCATTGTCTTTATGACCTTCATCTGTTTATTACTGAGGCCAGACTCAGCATCTGTCTCCGCCTGGCACCACATTCTGTACCACTGTCCCTACCCCAAATGCATGTATGCTAGGTGTGGTGGGCAGACACTAGAATGACCTCTCATGATCCTCCTCCTGGTGTTTATTCCCTTGTATAATTCCTTTCCCTTGAGTATGAGGAGGACCCGTGATTTGTTGTAACCAATAGAATATGACAAAGGTGACGAAATGCCACTCCATGACATGTCATATTCTATGAGACTGTCTTGCTGCCACACCTGATCTAGAGGCTCCTACCTGGGCTGATGAAACAGCCAAGTGACATGGCAAGGGACTGTAGGTGGCTTGTAGGAATTGTAAGCAACCTCTAGGATTTGAGGGTGGCCTCCAGAAAACACTTGCAAGGGCTTAGACCTTCAATCCTACACACCAAGGGAATTAATTCTGCCAACAACCTGGGTGAGCTTTGAAGCTGATTCTTACTTAGTCAAGCTTCTGGATGAGAACTTAGTCCAGTTGATACTTGTAATCGTAGACTTGGAAACTATAAGCAGAGAATGAAGCTAAGATACACCTGGGCTCCTGAGCCACAGAAATTGAGATAATACATGTGTTGTTTTAAGCTGCTGAGTTTGTGCTGATTTGTTATTCAGCAATAGCTAACTAATACACTCAGAGTAGAGTGGCGTCTGATCCTAGGGCATCTATTCTATAGGCTGTCCTGAAGGAATATACTGTCCAAACTAGAAGGAATGTAATTGACCAAACTTCTCAATTCTCCAGAAATTGAAAGTAGAATTTGAAATATATAGAAGAAGAGAAGGAACAGAAGCTGAAAAGCTTGAGCATTAATGAAAACCATAAGAAAACTGAGCCAGAAACAGGCTGCAGCCATAGACAGAAAAGAGCAGCATAGAGTTCCCAAGGACAACTGAAAGTCGGGAGAAACCATAGAAGCAGAAACAGATAAGGGCCAATTCATTAGGCAGTGGGTGGGAGATGGACAATTACCTCTTAGAAAGCCAGAGCAACCAGAGCTCCTGGGTGGCTCAGTTGGTTAAGTGTCTGACTCTTGATTTCAGCTCAGGTCGTGATCTGACGATCATTGAGTTCAAGCCCCAGCACTGGGCTCTGTG